TCTTTAGCGGTGCCCTTTAATGCCCTCCTAAGGCGTGCGACATTTTGCACCCCTGAAAATTGGCCTTTTGTGTCTTCAAACACCGTTTTGAAAATTATCCATTCGCCCGGGTCTCCATCGAACACCGGTAATTCCTGGAGGAAATGAAGCTGGGAAGATTTATCTTTACCAGCTATTTTTATTGCACTCACAATCGCTTCGGTCAATTCTGACACCTCACTCGCGTGTGTTTTCTGTGCATTTCCTAGGTTGCGCTCGACCTCCGCCCCTTTGCGGCGTGATCCTTTACACGCTTCCTTATCAGTAATATCGGGTTGTGCTACACTAACCGGCGCGCTCATTATGGTTTGCTGAACCCAACTCCTTACGAAAGGTTCCACCTGAGTATTCCGCTCTTCATCATCCTCACTCGAGTCGATTTCCTCTTCTCGGTTGAGTCGTGCCAACTCCCATTGAGACTTGGCTAAGGCAGCAGCTGCCTGTGCTCGTTCGAGCTCTGAGCGTTCGAATTTAATCCGCGCCTCTAATTCGGCTTTCAGCCTCGCCGATCGCGATGACCTACTACCTCTCTGTGACCCTTTATCACTAGTGTGCCCGATTACTGTCCTTGACGATGCCGCTTCTTCGGTCCTTTGACCTACTTTTTCGACCACCGTTTCACTCCTGGATATAACGGATTGTTGTGCGGTGCTGGCCTGCGTACCACTGGTGTCCGTCCTGTTGCTCGTCGTTGCCATGGACGTCCCTGAGTCCCACGTGCATGTGGACGTGTCTGTGGTGGCTCCACTTGAAGGAGTTGCTCCATTTGACGCAGTAGCTGTGGTCGCTCCAGATGATTCCGCTTCTTTAGCTTTTCTTGAGAGCCCTGTCCTTGTCCTGCTCCCTTCGCTTCTCCCTGTCTGGTCTTGTGCCTTCTTCATCTTGCAGGAAGGTGATTGTTGGCCTACGGTCCCTAACTGTCCCTACGGTCCCTACAACCCCTTCTACACCCCAACCTAACACCACTACCCCTCCCCCCTTTATCTCCCAACCCTACAACCCTACTACCACCCTAACAGCCCTATCAGCCCTATCAATCCTGAACGGGGCCTACCGAGGTGAGCCGTCCAGGGATGGAGTCGTGCAGGAATGGAATGGAGGAAAGGTTTAGGAACTGTCCCGCCAAGGAATATGACGAAACAGTCGAGCGGTAGTGCAAGCGCAGTCACGCTCGAGAGAACTGCTCCACCCGAAGGTGTTATGCCAGAGCCCAACCGTTTGGCACCGTTAGGTGGTCGGGATGTATGCTGTGCTCGCCGCCCAGTTGCCGGTGACGCCTCGTACAAGCGCCCTCCTCCGGCCGCGATGCAGTCAGGTGCCCACGCGCACCCTCGCCCGGCAGCAGCAGCGGTGGATGCTTTTTGCACCCTGATGACCCGACGGGAAATGCCGGACACAGTCGTCCGACAGGAAATGCCAGACACGATCGTCTGACAGGAAATGCCGAGCACGCTTGCCCGACAGGAAAAATGCCAAGCCCTGCTTGGCCACGATGAGTGCCTTCACAAGACACCTGCGCCCGGCTGCGATATGTGCCCCATGCGAGCACACGCCCCAAGCTGCAATCCCGGTTTTCTTTCTTCCGGTAGTTCCAGGTCCAGCCCTTCAGTGCTGCCGTCCTGGTCTTCAGGCCTTTGGTCCTATTGCTTCAGCTCAAACCTCTGGCTTCCTTCGGTTGCTGATCTTCACTCGGCTTCCGAAGGTCTTCTTCTTCCACAACCAGCAGTCCACAGCTGGTTCCTTGATCCAGCTGGCGGGGTTCGGGTGGTCTTCAATCCGGCTCCGAAGGTCCAATTGAAAAGGAACTCAGGTCGGTGTCCTCTTGATCCTGAAAAGGACCAATTGAAAAGGACCTAGCGGATCGGGTACTAAGAAACAGGAATCGAGGCTTCTCTCGATCCGGCCTCCTATAACGCCTACGTTGGGTTCGGGAACAACGTATGTGATCTCCGCAACGGAGTAACACACTAGGGCGATAACCTCTTCCTTTTCAGCAAGTAGGTTCAGACGGGGATTACGGGTCTTCCGAAGTCGTCCCGGTCCCGACGCCTTAATTCTTCGATGTGGACTGTATAACTTAAAGGATCTTGGGAATGAAACAGCAATTATCTTCAAACCGTTCCGTGAGAGAGTAATCACTTTTTCCCTATACTGCTGGTTTTTCACTTTTCTTGAACTTTTCCTCGGATTTTCTTATTTATTTCCGAACTATTTCCGAACTTCCCCGAAGGATTCCCGAACTATTTCCGAACTTCCCCGAAGGATTCCCGAACTATTTCCGAACTTCCCCGAACGAATTGCAATAAAACCCGTTCACTAAGCTACCCCAGAGCTATACGCGAAAGTGAGCCGCGCCATCTGCGCGCTTGCGCAACTTAATTACATGAATTTGTACTATTACTCTCTCACGTTTCACTCAATATCTTTATTTATTCAAATCATATACAAATACAATTTATCAATATAGGTAGTACAAAACAATATCTACACCATGATATACATCATATCTTCATATCATAAAAAACCTTTTATTTATTAAACGAAAACTGCCTATTTTACTCACAAGTTCGAAATCGAAATTTCTTAAATATTTAACACAGAAAGTTAAAACAATGTTTCTCACTTGAATTTATACATAAGCTAACCAATACAATAGTTTAATTTACATTTTTTCTATTTACTTCACTATTAAAACACTTTTAAATTTCTTATACAAAACTATCATTATTTCACTTATACACAGGAATTTTCACATGAAAATAACACAGAATTTACCTTTTTAGCACGTACAATTAACCTGAAATATTTTACAAGTAATTTTTACATAAATCACTGAATTACAAACATTTTAAATTTTTACATATTCGGCCTCCTAAGGGCGTGGCCAGCGTGCTTCCGTGTACTCGCGCTAGGTGAACAACTAACTTTGCACGGCTCTCGGCTATCAGAAAAAATTAAATTATGAAATACACCAATTTTGACCATATTAGGCAAATTAAATGCTTTTATACAATTTTCGAACTGTATGAAACTATCTTTAATCAGATAACAATATAAATGAATGTTCTCATTAATCAATCATAACAAATAGGCATTTGTTTTCGTACAAAACGTATCAAACTTATACAAAACAACATTTATGCAATTAATATCCATTAATTCTGCCTATGCACAGAGTGATTATCTCGACCGGGGAACAAATCCGGTAACATAATTTATATCTTAAATTCCTTACGAATTTATTAAGCGATATTACTTAGGAAAACAAACAAACTAGTCCGGCCTGGGAGTCGAACCCAAGACCTTCATATCATTAATTCGACATTTCTTAAAGATTTAACTAAGCATTCTCTTATCAGAGCGTCGTTGCTCGTGACTGCCCCTTTTTTCATAGCAACGTCATCGGTTGATTTAATAAACTGAAACATTTTTATAGGCGCGTCGCCAACAATATTTCATTATAATTTCTATTATATTTACATTTTCGGAGAATAACTGTCCAGATGGTATAACAATTTACACAAAAGTTTTAAGAGTCTCGCGCCGTGCAGCGGCTTGGTTTGTGGCGGCCGTGACAGTAACATCACAGCGGCCGCAGATGATATGTCGACACGTGTCGGTAAGTTCAGAGGCAAATAATATTTTTAGAAATATTAAATTAAGTAAGTTATCTGATTGGAAACTCTAAAACCCCATTTAAAACAACCAAAAAAATTTTCATTATCATAGTTGCAATGCCTATGTGAACACCTATACGTCCCCAAAACGACCAACGGGTGTTTTGTTTCAAACTGTATATATTAAGTATTCCGTGTATTATTCATGAAAACCTAAGACAACTCCATCCTAATATCATAAAAGTACCCTCAACTCTCAACAGCGATTAGCCATCTGCGCAGGACAGGATATTTTTTTTAGCTAATAAACGTTATCCCTACACTAGGATTTTCTCCTGTATCGTGGGGGCAGTTTACAAACATAAATTGCACAAGGACAAACATCCAGACCCGGAACAATTAATTGTAGGCAATACAAATACTTGTTCCGTTTGGGATTAGAACCCGCGACCCCCAGCGCAGCCACTCATTGCTAAGCCACTGCGCCACGGATTCGTCATAGGATTATATTGTCCAAGTATTATACGCAACATAAGCACCCTCTATTTTCACACTCTCATACTCCGGCAAGCTGCCACGACTGGAGAGAGATCAGGCACTAGATCAACGGTAACCAATAGACCCCGAGGCAGTCACACAAACATATAAAGTGTATGACTCATCAAGTTGGGGAGATATATGAAGATCAGATAAACCACGAAAAAAACATACGTGCAGCTCACACGCAACAGAAGTGAAACCTTCAAATGAAATCAAATATAAAACACAAATATTTTAAATGATTTATTTAATATTATAATTTAAACTACAAGTTCGGCATAAAATATAAGAAAATTTAATTTTATAGTAAATAAATGTAACCTCGAATCCTTTTAATATATATAATAAGCACCGATATTATATTACTCTTTTCAATATACCTTATGTATAGTACTCATTACAAAAAGATTTATATCAATTTTACCTATTACGAAGTTGAGTTTTGGCCGTTCTTCACTGCTAGGCACACGATACCTTTGTAACTTGTTGAACAAACGTGTAAGCGACGCCGTTTCCCGTTTCGGCGGCGTTTACGACTTTTTTCTCGCGAGCATTGAGCTAAAATCTATAATGCTTCCTATCTCATTTTCTCTCACATTAAATCTTATCAATTTATGTGTCTGTCTCTTTTTACTGTCGCTTTTTCGTTTCATAGACTTTCGAATCACAACGATGCTAAAGAAGTTTTTACTTCAGAAGTTTACTTAGATAAAGAAAACAATAAAGGAGGCTTTAATCAATAATTTGGCTTGTTTTATTTTTTGTTTAGTTAGTATATTTTGTGATATTAAGAACATTACTCACACGTGTAAAACGAGTGGTAGAGGCAGGTCATCTGTTTCTCGTAGCCCTGGTGGCAGTAGCAGACGCACTCGGGCTTCGCGGTGAGCTTGTACCTGCAACGCATTACGTCATTGGTTAACCTTGTTTATGGAGTAGAGAAACAATTTCCTTTTCTAGAATAAATAATGATTATACGGAATGGTGGCGGAATTTAAAATTTACGCTGACTTTTTATAAAGTCAAAAGTACAGGGCGACCACATGCTGGCCACTGGTTTAAAATAACTGGGAGGACTGTGCTGTATAGTAAAAGTATGTGTCTCATACTTGAATTGCTGGCAAAGTCACAGTTAAAAGTGAAACAATCTTTCAAATATGTCAAACCGAAATTATCTACAAGAGAATCAAACCACAGTAAATCTACCTAGTTAAGTTTCGGGAGCGGTGCTGAAGCTTTTTAAAAACAACCAAATATGTCTCGATGACATTTATTACTATTTCATTACAATAAAAATTAAATGAAATACTGACTTATTTAACTAAGTGATTACATTACTACGATGAGAACTGTAAGGAATATAATTCTAAATGCAATTGCTTTTATAGGATGATCAAAACAAATTTTGGACTGAAAGTAGACACCTTGGTTTGACCAGCGATAATAATTATACAGTGGAGTCAGCGTCTTCTGTAACATTAAACTTTATAACATGTTTCAGTAATCTAATATCAAAAGCTTAATCGGCAGAAGTGCGGCGGTCCGTTCTTCAAAAAAGGCGAGAATGCGCTCTTGAAGAATTACAGAACGATTTCCCTTCTGAGCTGCATTTACGTGCTGTTTTCGAGAGTCACTACGAATCGTCTCGTATGCAGACTCGACGACTTCCAGCCTCCCGAACAAGCCGGTTTCCGAAAAGGCTTCAGTACCATAGACCCCTACATACCCTGGGGCAGATTGTACAAAAGACTGAAGAGTACAATCTGCCACTTTGCCTGGCGTATGTGGACTATGAGAAAGCCTTTGATTCCGACGAAATATTGGCGGTGCTACAGTCCCTTCAGCGCAGCGGTGCCAAATTGACTGTCGGTATATCGAAGTGATTAAGTATTTGTACACTAAGGCTACGAAGGCTATCCAAGTACAGAACCGGAGTACGAAACCAACGTCCAACTGCAGAGAGGTGTAAGACAAGGTGACGTTATATACCCGAAACTTCACCATTGCATTGGAAGACATTTTAAAGCTACTGGACTGGAAAGGATACGGTATCAACATCACTCACCTATGAAAGACTTCAATAGTGTCTCCCAAAGGATAGGTCTTAAGATGAACATGTACAAAACAAAGATCATGTTTAATGTCCATGTCACACCTATGCCGGTAGTTGTTGGGAGTACTAAGCTCGAAGTTGTTGACGTGTATGTTTACCTGGGACAAACCCGCCTGCAAAAAGTGGCAACTATGGCAAATCCACCCTTTTTTAGGCTTTCTATAGGGAGGCTTATGTTCAGTAGTGCACTTTGATAGGCTGTAAAGGATAGGAGCCGCAAAATATCTCAAGTATTGAAGCGCAACAGTGTCTTACTAATACGTATGAACAAATTTGTGACGTTACAAAATGGCATTGAAAAGAAGAATGATATAGAAGAATACAATAAATTTTATTTAACATAGGTTACAAATAATACTAATTGAAAGAAATTTATGCTTTTACCACTGGTTCTGAAAAATCCTTTGACTCGGAAAGAACCAGTAAGAAACTCAGAAAAAAAAAGAACTTTATTTACGAAAATTGGTCGAACTTAACCGGTACTAACCGAGAATATTATGACGAGACGACGAGAACACAATATTTTTGATTTAGATGATGTTGCTGACAATAGTACTTATCGTTATGAAAATTAAGTTGAGAACTGATTGTCGTATGCATAGTAAAGTGCAGCTGTGTGGTGACGGTGTAAGGTCCACTATCCCACATCATCCCGTGGGTGTCGTAAGAGGCGACAGAGGGAAACTGAAAAATGAGAAATGCAGCAGCATTTTCCTAATTACAACTTAATGTAATAAAACACTGCTTTTGTTAACCCGCCTGCCTTCCTACTGGCTAAGCGTGGCAACTATGGGAAAGCCCCCATCTAAGGCCTCCGCTATAGATTGCTTCTTAGGGGTTTTTTTAGGTGGTAATAGATGGAGGGATAACAGTAAAGTACAGTACCTCTACTCTGAAGACCTTAAATTGTGGCGTGGCAAGCGCAGCGAACATCTGACGTAAGGGTTGGCCATCCCAAAGTACGGAGCGACGCACACCGTTGGCGGAACATAGAAACGTTGCTGGGGGACCAGGACCTAAGCATTCCTGTGGTGGATACAAAAATTATAACAACGCATATATATATATATATATATATATATATATATATATATATATATATATATATATATATATATATATATATATATATTAATTTTTTAATTTTTATTAGGTTCGTGGTTGCTCAGATGGTTAGCGCTCGCTGTAAATTTCACAGTACGCGAGCAAACCGGGTTCGAGCCCCGCCGGCACCAATGAAATTGTTAATTGCAATTTTAAGTGCTGATTTACCACGTGCTCGGCGATGAAGGAAAACATCGTGAGGAAACCTGCATGTCTGAGAAGTAAGAAAAAAATCGAAGACATGTGAAGTTCGCCAACATGCATTGGGGCAGCGCGGCGGAGACTTCCTTGCCCTAAAACCCTCTCAGAAATAAGGGGAGGCCTGTGCCCAGCAGTGGGACGTATATAGGCTGTAACTTTAACTTTTTACTATAAAAATATAACTATGACATTGGGACGTCAAATACTTCATTCCCCCCGTGACCATGAGTGCTGTAAAGTACTCGAAATGTCGGGAATATAAAATAAGTTAACATGTGCGATAAAATCCGTAAAAACTAGTTTAATTTCAATGTGTAGTGTTGACTTAAACCTAAGAAATCATTATGCTTTTATATTTCTAAAATTTGCGTCAGTACCTTACTTATTCATCTATGTACAGACACTATAAGGAAAAATATGTATGAGGTCTTAAATCTGAACCCACCTGTACATAATAAGAGAAATTCTTGCTGAATATAACTCTGTTGTAGAGACACGCTGTGGGCAGGGAATCGTTCTCGTGGGATACGTGCGGCAGTACCGTGGACGTTGGCCAGGGTACTAGAGACGATGTTGAGTTCTCGTATTCCTATAATAATACATCAGAATTATTTTGGATTTGCAATCTTTGATTTTACATAACTAAAAAGCAGTAAGTTTCGCTTTATTTGATAATTAATTGCTTATAATGGAAGCTGAATTAAGATGTACAGGTTATTCATGAGGGTAGAATGCGATATTTCTAGTAAGAGTTGCGTGGTCGGGCCACGTTGTAGCTTATACTTTTAGTAGAATTAATGAACCGGCTCTACCTACTCATTATATTTATTTATTTATTTATTTAACTTCATATACACATTAGATGTATATAGGCGGACTTAATGTCTGAGGCATTATCTACCAGTCTACCTTAGAGTAGTGCAGAGATAAAAGGATTATACGTGGTAGAGTCACGCTGCAGCTATATTATGGTTGTAGCACGAATGGGTCGGTTCGACCGTAGAAGTAGAGGTAGTAGAAGGACCACGCTCTCACGGAATACCAGCGTAAAATAGCAGCTTAATACTGCTGTGTTTCGTATGGTGAGTGTAGAGATCCGGAGACCCTTTTTTACTGGAAACGGGGAATTCCATTCAACCTTATTCTATATAAATAAAAATAGTCCAAATACACTCTCAAATACCATCCTAAAATATTATTATTTTACCGTTTGTAGTTAAGTTTTCCGTTATTGTAACATCTTTTTTTTAATAAATAAAGAGTTGTTTTTTATCTATGTATTTTAATTCTCAGGGGCTATGAATTTTTATCGTTCGGTGGACTGTTTTTCTTATTACTTAATATGCTGTTCATTATAGGGTTGTTATTAATTTGTTTAGTACGTAGTGTAGCTAAGCGCTAGGTTGACCAATTGTTGTAGTTAAAAAGTATATTATACTATAAAAACTACGCTGCGTACATGAGCGACGACCGACTTACGACAGTACCGTCAGAGCCGTCTGAAAGTGTAAGTACTTATCGCAGTGGGTACACCATCCAACTTCCCATGGCCTCATCAGACCTAAAGACCATATTGGTTGAAATATGCATAAAGTGCTGGTTCAGAGTACTTGCCCACGTGACTTATTTTATTGACTCGCTACAAGTTGTATAATCTACTTTTTGTCCCAAATACGATAATGTCTCAATACAATGCAAGTGCAGTTGTGGTTCCGGGCAAAACCTTACCACGATTGTTTAGACCTGCTACTCCTTTGGTACCAATGGTGCGTGAACTACCACAGCCGCAAAAGTTTGCCTCTGAGCTCACTAGATCCACGTAGTGGACCGATCCCGCTTCTTCACGAACTACCTTATACCCATCATCTTCTTGCTTAGTCTATTTGGCATAATCTGATATTCCCACAGCACGTGGTTTCGGTCCTTAGGAGAATAGCCACAATCGTACATGGTCGCAGCAAATTTTAATCTCCCATAAATCTTTCATCGTAGGTACAGTCGATAGTCGTAGTCGAAGGCATGAGATACCGTCATGTACAGGTGGTGGGCTGGTAAGCCACCACTTGTTGATTAGCAGGTAGATTGGCTGCAGCGAGGAGCGAGCGCGCAGGGGTGGCACCGGGGCAGGTAGGAAAGTGCGGTGATGGTGGCCAGCTGCCGTCGCCCAGCACCGCTAACGGTACAAAACGTGCATAAGCCCTTACGTTTGGTGGAGCATCACCTGTTGGTCGACGGGTAGGTCGGTGTCAGCGGTAGGCAGTGCGGGGGGTGCGGGGGGGGCGCCGGGGCAGGTGAGGCAGTGCGGCGGCGGCGGCCAGCTGCCGTCGCCCGGCACCGCCACCCGGTACACGTGCCGTTCGCCAGCACGCTCGGGTGCCGTGCCCGTTACGTACCTGCCCGCAAACATGCGCTCACAGAATTTTTTTTATAGAATAAGGGTAACGAACGAGCACACAGTCCACCTGATGGTAAGTGGATGATGTGGCCATAGACACCTACATCTATCCTTGATTAAGAAGGTTCCGTGGTGCACGGCTTAGCAATGAGTTGCAGCGCTAAGGTCTGCCGGTTCAAATCCCGCACTTAACAAGTATTCGTATGGCTTACAAATAATTGTTCCGGGTCTGGATGTTCGTCGTTGTGAAATTTATGTACATAAACTAAGTACCTCATGATACAGGAGAAAATCTTAGTTACACTAAGATTTAAACGAAACGAAGAAAGTTAACGTTTTAATGAATAAAATAAAGAATTAAAATGAAAATGCGTTGCTTGAGAGCTAAGATAGAACGCCTTGTTTCATGCAGCGTTTCTCTACCATGTAAAAAATAAATATACATAGGTAAGTGTTACCGCTTACGACCGTCAATTCATTTTTGAGTTTTTTGCTCTATAAACAGTAAAAAAATGCTAAAGAAAAAAACGTAAAAAAATATGAAGAAGAAGACAAAAGTTAAGACCGACGCTACCGGTTGTAAAGACCTCTATGTTTAGTACTGGATCGGTATTACCTGTCGGTTATTCTGAATACCGAATCGGTAATCGGTAATAAAACTGTGACACAGCTGTGAAACGCAGAATTGCGGGCGGGCAGCTGTTGTATTTTTACCGACTTTCAAAAAGAAGGAGGTATTCTATTCGACTGTATGTTTTTTTATGTGTTAACTCATAACCTTTCCCTGGGTGAACCGATTTTGATGATCCTTTTTTCATCTGAAAGCTGCTGTTTTATGTGTGGTCCCATATAAATTTAAATAAAATCTGACCAGTAGTTTTTGAGTTATCTTTAATAAAGCGTATTTAATTGACTTCGAATACATTGATTCGATCGTATTATGACGTTATATCCCCGAAACTCTTCACCGCTGCATTGGAAGACGTTTTCAAGCTACTGGACTGGAAAGGATACGGTATTGACATCAATGGCGAGTACATCACTCACCTTCGATTTGCCGACGATATAGTCCTTATGGCAGAATCGCTGGAGGACTTAAGCACTATGCTCAATGACCTCAATAGTGCCTCCCAACGGATAGGTCTTAAGATGAACATGGACAAAACAAAGATCATGTTCAATGTCCATGTCACACCTATGCCGGTAGTTGTTGGGAGCACTATGCTCGAAGTTGTTGACGAATACGTTTACCTGGGACAAATAGTCCGACTAGGTAAGTCCAACTTCGACCGAGAGGTCAATCGACGGATTCAACTCGGCTGGGCAGCGTTCGGGAAATTACGGCATATCTTTTCGTCAGGTATACCTCAATCTCTAAAAACTAGATTGTACAACCAGTGCGTGTTGCCAGTGATGACTTACGGATCTGAGACGTGGTCCTTCACTGCTGGCCGTATGAGGACGCTTAAGGTCGCTCAGCGAGCTATGGAGAGGGCTATGCTCGGAGTTTCTCTGCGTGATAGACTCAGAAATGAGGATATCCGCAGTAAAACCAGAGTGACCGACATAACCCAACGGATTAGTAAGCTGAAGTGGCAATGGGCCGGCCATATAGCTCGAAGAACCGATAACCGATGGGGAAGAAAGGTTCTCGAGTGGCAGCCTCGTACCGGTAGGCGTAGTGTTGGGCGACCCCCCACTAGATGGAGTGACGACCTGGTAAGACATGCAGGAAGTCGATGGATGCAGGTGGCTCAGGACCGTGCTTTGTGGCATTACTTGGGGGAGGCCTATATTCAGCAGTGGACTTGTGAAGGGCTGTAATGATGATGATGAGATGAAAGTCGGTTACACAAAGTTTTCAATTTTACCACTTATCACTTCATGACATGAGCATCGCACGTGCTGAGAGGAACCAACTTAATGATTTCTTACGCGAACACTACACATTTAAATAATACTAGCCTTTACAGATTTTATCACGTATATTTAATTATTTAAATACCCTGCGTTTCGAGCACTTTACAACACCCATGGTCACGGGGGAGACTGAGATGTTCAACGTCTAGATGTCATAGTTAACCGCGGTTACCATAGATTAAAATTATTAATTTTTGTTCCGATCTATGCAGTACAAACTTATAGTATCTTGAAGTCTTGCAGTTGTTTGCTTGGGTTGGGTTTTAATTTTATGAATTATAGGATCCCAAGCAGATGGTAGCACCCAGCCATCTTCTCTATTGAAATTAGGATGTTTTTTGATTTCAATAGCCTCGCAAATCATCCTCCAACGATGATCGGTGTTCTTTAGCGAGAATTATTCGGAAATTCGGAATCCTGACAACACCTTGAGCCACATTCTGTATAGAAAAAAGACCCATACAGATAGATATTAAAAAGGTTATTCTCACCACCATCCTTCACAGTTAGCTACCGTGGGTAAATCTTTGTTTCAGAGAGCACGAGGGATCTGTGACAGTAAACACCTGGCCACCGAGCTCCAACACGTCAAGCAAGTTTTGCATGACAATAAGCTTCGGGTCCCGCGCCTACTTCACAGTGAAGTGAACGAGCGAAGACTGCCACAGTCGAGCGTGTACTGTAAAATGCTCGAAACGTCGGGTATTAAAAAAGTTAAATATACGCGGTAAAATCCGTAAAAGCTAGGATAGGAACCAACTTATTTTAGCTAATTAACGTTGTGGATGAATACGAAATAAAGTTATATACTTACCTATCTGAAATAAACTTCAAATCACGTTGACCAGGTACGCACGTAAATAATTAGATATCTGGGGGCAAGGCAGTGCCAGTGCAGTGGTAGAAGAACTGAGTTGCGAGACTTGGTATATACATCACATTAAACGAAATTAGTGTAAGAATTATCGAATACAACGTTCGCGGTTTACAAAACAAAGAATTAGTCTTCTCGCCCGCTCGCAGTCGATTCAAGGAGTTACGGAGCATTAACCCTAACTTAGTGCACAATGTTTTAGTTTGCAAAGCGCGTTTAGTAGTAAACATAGAAGTCTTTAATCGGTAGCGTGCATATCAGTTCATATTTTGATATCATTTTTAAATAACACAAACTCAACACCAAGGATATTAAATTTATGTTAAATGTTTTTGGATATTATATCACCCTCCCATCGAGTTTGATGTTCAATTTATGTCATGTATGTTATGTTATCTTATGAAGGCGGACGAGCTTTTTTGTTTTGTTTTGAGTTGTGATGTGTACTCGTAGAGACACGCATGCTAGTGTGCGTACTGCATGTAGCGTTAGTAAACCCGTCGAAATTGAATAAAATAATATTATCAAGTTACCGTTTAGTAAATTTGTTGTTTAGCGATGTAGAGAAATGAAATTATTTTTCTTTTTACCATTACTGTTTCTATTACACAAATTTATTATTGGCTGGAAATACTTTTAAATGCTCTCATTTCTACAGCATCGATTTTACTCTCTTGCTTCTTCTTATTTTCTCTTATTCCAAGAAATCTCAGTATTTACAAAATGTACTTACAAAAGTCGTCTTCTTTCGTCCCAGCCAATTAGTTGAGTTATTTCAAAGTTCCCCTGCGTCAGTGTTATCCTAGTTTCCGTCGTCAACTGAATGGCATGTCTCCAAATGCCGCCCTGGTCGGTGATGGGTGCAGAGGTGAACACCCCACTCCTACCTCCCACCAGCGCACCACCCCCGCACCACCCACAGTCCTCCTCCACGGGATCAGCTCCTAATCCTGACCATCGCGTGCCGTCGGATTCGTCACGAAATATCTGTTTAAAATACGATAAAATAACTAAAATTGGAAAACGCACCTCCAAGGTTATATAGACTCATGATAAATATGTTATGGAGATATATGGATTTTATTTCCTCAGGGGTAACATCGCATCTGCATTTTCTTTCTTATTCCAGGATAGATGTAGATGTCTGTAGGCCACAGCATCCACTAACTATCAGGTGGACTGTTGATTAATTTTTAAAAAAACCCCTATTCCATAAAAAAATTTATGCTTTATATATGTTACTGCTGTTTATCGTATTTTCAATCGGCAGTAACTATACTTACCCTTTACTTTTAACAATATACTAAAGATAAACTTACGGATCTGTCCATATCTGCCACACTTTGCAGTCGAGTTAGTGAGCATAACATTTTATTTTAGTCCTCAGAGGCGACAACGCATTTTCATTTCGATTCTTAATTGAGGATAGATGTAGATGTCTGTGGGCTACACCATCCACTATCAGGTGATCATTTGTCACCCTTATTGCTATAAAACTGTATGAATAATTCTTACATCCTGACAGTTGTACTGGACAGCGTTGCAAATGCTGATGATAGATACATTCTGCGGGCGGTTGAGCAACAAAACTCCGATCTGTTTTTCCGTTAACCATGTCGTCCAACGGACGTACCATCCTGTGAAAGATAATAAAATTATAAATAAAAAAATGAATGTGGACACCATTCGTCCTAAATATTGACTTCCAAATTGGTATTAAAAATGCGTGGAACCAAATATATTGAAAATTAAATCGACCTGATTTTATTATTTAGAGTTAGAGACGATATCATAATTTTTTCTTGAGATATGCGAGACGAAAGAAGTTCAATAAATAACGTACATAATTACTAACACTTTCTATTAATATGTTTAATAAAATGAATATCCAAATATTTATATACTACAAGAAACAACTCATATGTAAGCTCCATAAATATAGCGCTCATACAAACATACAACATCCTTCTCCATCCATACCTACCTAATAGCGAATGTAATAAGACTAGAAAACAGAAAAAATTTCTTTTTTGAAGACGGCTAAAATCATTTTAACCCAACTTTAAGGACCTCAAAACATGGTTATGAAAAATTGGGACTCTATAAAAATAACTTATTTATTAAAATCCTCCAGACTGAATTTTGGTCACGGCGGCCAACTTCAATGGAGACTAGCCATCTGGGCAGGACGGTGCACTCATTAATAACTTTACTCTTTAGGTAATTCGACACAACCGGAGTGAGATCAGGCGCAGAACCAATGGCTTTACGTGATTTCCGGGGCACGGGGATGGACACCGTCAATTTCCTGACTAAAGGCGGCTACTGAGATCTTCTTGATAGACAATCTCAAAAACTTTTTTTTGGCCCGCCCAGGGATTCAAATCAGAGAACTCATGATCAGCAGCTAATTTAACGACTATCCACTATATCAACGACACTAAATTAATCTCGGTCTTAAGCGTAATGATTACGGCAAATCTTCCATCGACGGTAGAGACATTGTTTAGCCATGGACTTTACGGCCTGACGAAGATAATTTTAATAGATACTGGTGTTTTCGCCACTGTAATCCAATTTCTGATTAAGGTAACATTATCTTTATCTACATAAAACCGAAGACTTCTCTAAATAGGTACTCTAGTAGACTGGAAATTTAGAACAAAAGCTGTGTTACAGCTATAATTCGATAGTTGGTAAAATAAAAAATTATATTAAAGTAAAACAGTTGTAAATTTACGTACTGTATTATTTTACTCTCTGTTGAAATCTTTAGGTAGCCAGGTTATTACATCATCCGTGACGTAGGAAGGTAAAAAGCTCAAAAGAAGTAAAGCCATACGGACACTCACGCTTAGCGATAAAGTTTAATTTAGCTTCGTGCTTAATTTATTTAATTAGTAATAATTAAGTAGGCTATTAAAATTAAAGTGACAGACTTATCTGAAATAAATCTCAATTCTCGTTGATAAAATGAACGCATATATAATGACATCGTTTTCTTAGTCACATTAAACAAAATCAGTGTTAGATTATCGGAAACAACGTTCCCAGTTTTGCAAAACCAAGAACTAGTCTTTTAGTCTTTAAAATATAGGGCAATGTAATAAGGTCGAAGAGCCTGTCTAGTAATATAAATAAAAGTCTTTGTCTAAAACCTTATAATTTATTTTCATTTTTATTGCGAATAAAAAAGTGACAAAATAATCGTACGACACTTCGGGTGATAGCCAAAAATCAGTGCCTTGCTTCCTGGTGTGCAATACGCGCACCGAGATACGGCCTAATTCTACCGTACAATGCGCACACACTTGTGCACAAATTGTGTCCGGATAATATGTTTGATATTTAAGTTTAAAAAAAGTGTAGTGTGTAGTGTAGTGTAGTGTTTGAATATTAAAGATGTTAACATATATAACCAGCAAAGTCCGCGTAATAAAATAAAATTATGTGTTTTGTTATACGACTACCTAGTGAGTCTAGAGCGCGTACAAGAGTACTCTTTCACACTGCAGTTGTTGAGTGAGTAACTAGCTTAAAGGCAAAACATGTATTAGCGACGTTGTTGTGTCTTTCCTAGTGAAGTGGTAATAATTTCTTATATTTATGCGAATATCACACATTGATTAAAACTACTTCTACGGGTTTTATCGCGGTTAATTTACTTCACGAGGAACTGAGGTGACTGACGTTCTGATGTCAGTGTTAATTCGGAGTAACTTAAGCTTTTTAATTATTATTTATGGTCCGATCTACGCAGAATGAACTTACTGTATCTTAAAGTCATGCAGGGGTATGCTTGGCTTAGTTTAGTGTTTTTTTTTAAATTTGTTTCTAAATAGAGTGTACATTCGTCCCCTTTTAATTCAACTGTAAGCCAGTTTGTTGGCTGATTGTTGTTTTTGTTGGCAGTTTGGTGTTGGGATTAGTGTTGACGGGGACAGTGCATGCAATCGAAAGAAGGGCGGAAGGTGCTCCATAAACTAGCTAGGTATGACACATCATTTTATTTTACTACGCGAATTTTAGTTAATAAAATTTTTATATTTTGAATACAATTGATTTCCGCAAAGTAACGTCTGATTCTATTACCTATATTTGAATAATTGTGTGTGCTCTATAAGACATAATTAAACAACTGACTATTTATCTATTTATCTACCTACGACGAACGAGATAAACGAACTAATTAGCTATCGAATGAAAAAAGCAAAGAATTAATTACTTAATACATCTTAATAATATTTTTACATATTATCATCTAATGCTGTTTACCTTTGTCAATTTGCGACGTAAACTGTATTGCATGGGGAAAGAGGAACTTGGGCGTTTTGAGGCTCACCACGTATACTGTCACCACTGGATTGTTCGTGTTTACCTGAAAAGGAAATTAATTCAATAAACTTCGGGATGATCTAACCTCTCCTTAAATACTTGATACTTTACAGATATTGGTACTAAAATAAGTAAGTATAATTAACATCCTGTATAATGTCCTCCAGATCGAATTTTGGTTCGACGGCAGCCAGCCTCATCGGAGACTGGTCATCTGCGCAGGACGGGCTTGCACAGGAGTACTCTCTATTCCTTCAACCATATTCCGATGGGACGATAATCTGACACGAGCGGAGAGAGATCAGGCGCAGGGTCAACGACCTTACGTGCTTCCCGAGGCACGGGGGTGAGACAACGCCAACTCCCTGACTCCGGGTAACTAATGAGAATTTCTTGACAGAAAAACTCAATGAATTGATTTTTTTGGCCTGATCCGGGATACGAAACCGGGATCTCATGATCAGCAGATGCATTTACGATTACTAGATCATAAAGGCTGTCAATAATCACACTAGGCCTATGTTATGGAACTCTACGCTGCTATAGTTCGTGTATTCCTCAGACACGTGAAAAATCATGCCATGGGATCGAACCCAGGTTGCTCGCGTACAGTAAAAATTACAGAGAGCGCCTGTCTACGACCATTTACTGGGGACATGCTCAGATACAACCTCAACAGTAACTGACTGTGCTGCAGACAGATATTATAAACTTTAATTTATGTATAGGTATACATTATCTGTGTAATAAACAATATATTATCTATTATACTACAAACCATATATACTTAGTTTATCATATACATATGTACACTATGTATATACTTCTAAGTTCAATCCAAATATAAATACTTGTACGTTCGTTAATACGAGTTTAAAAAAATATCTTAACGGTCACGTAACCGAATTGTAGTTACTGTAATTGCATCAGAGATATACTTGTAACCGTTCTACGGAGCTTTATTTCATCTCCCTTGTTCTCATCTGAACGGTGACAATGATAGGCTGGGTGACAAGAAAAATTGATATAATTTGACAGAGCTCGTTCTCTGTTCATTAAATGGGGGAAGTAACTATCAGACCGCTTTTTATTAGAAAATTAGTAACAATAATATTAATATAAAAGTTAAAGTCTTTGTACGTCCCTATCCTGGGCACATGCCACCTTCCATTTTTGAGACGGTTTTAGGGCAAGGAAGTGTATACTGCGGTGTCTTAATTATTTCTGTCTTCGAAATATTTATTTTTAATTTCTCAGACATGCAGGTTTCCCCACGATATTCCTTCAACGCCGATCACGTGGCACGAGCGCTTAGTTCCTTACATAAATATTTTAGTTTCCTGTGAAATCAGAAATACCGCTTTGGCGAGACCGTTAGTTATGTATTTAGCAAAATATTTAAAGTGAGTGTTATGAACTATTATGATGAAATAGTCATAAATATATACGCTATTTTAATAATTTGCAACGGAGAGTAAAAGAAAGAGCAAAAAAAGCCATACTAAAACAAAAAGACCAAACAACATCCCAAACAAAATCCAAAAAAAAAAGAACAAACCGAAAAAAAAAAAAAAAAAAAACACCCCCCACCAAAATATAAATATAATCACAAAACCAAATAACATATATATAATTTTTTTTCTCAAATATTTTATTATAAATAAATTTACCAATTCCCCCACCCCCCCCCCCATTTAATTATTTGTATAATTTAAAATAAAAAAAAATAATAATTTATTTTTTTTTTTTTTAATAATTTTTTTGTTAAAAATAAAAAATTTTTTTTTTTCTTTTTTTCCTACACCCCACCTTCCCCCACCCCCCCCCCCTTTAAACAAAAACAACAAAAAATAACACAATATAACCAACCTTCCCTAAAATAATAATTAAATTTAAAAAAAATATAATATGTAAATAACTATCAATCAGAAATGATCACCGTGCGAATAAGCTGCAATCACTTTTGTCCTCTTTTAATCTTCAGATGCTACCTCTTTCAGCCACTCACTACTTCCCAAACTACACTCCATCTCTCCTTGACCTAATTATAGTCTCTTCTCCAAATAATGTTGCCAGTCATGGACAACTAACTGTTTCTTTCTCATACCATGACCATATCTATTCGTCTTACCGTGTCCGACCTCCTAAACGTAAGTCAAACTTTCGACTCCTTCGAAGTTATAGGGGCATTTACTTGCAGGCGACGCTAGTTTGATAAATTGGACGCCGGTATTTGTTAGCCAAACAGTAGATAACAAAGTGAACAGCTTTACAATATCATTCTTAACTTATATGATATTCATGCACTGGTTAAACGTGTTAAAATAAAACATAATCCTGCCCCTTGGATAACTTCGGCTTTAAAGGCGATTTCCACTGGAGAAAAGAATAGGAAAAGTAAAATTTGGTGTACCGACTGGCTCTGTGTTTGGCCCGATCGGATATATAATGCACGTCAACAACATGATAAATGTCATCAAGAATTGTAGAACATACATGTACGCTGACGATACCTGCCTCGTGTATAGTGGAAAAAATAGTAGCCAGATACAGTTAAAAGTGCAGCAGGATTTAAACAATTTATTAAAGTGGTCCCACGACAATGACATTATTATGAACTTGAATAAAACCAAATTTATGGTAATATCATCACCCTATAACCGTTCTAGAAATACAGTAGATATAGCTCTTATGGGTCACACTTACGATTGCCCGCACACTGACCAGTCGAGCTCTGACTGCCATTGCGAAAAGCTACAGTGTGTAACGAACTATAAATACTTAGGGTTGGTTATAGATAATCGTTTCTCATGGGACTTGCATGTTGAATTAGTGTGTGTGGCTTAGGGCAGTACTAGGTAAACTGTATCATATAAAATATGTTGTGAATCGAGGAATCATGTATATGCTTTATTATGCCCTAGTAGACGCAACGATCGGATATGGCTTAGGTGCATATGGACTCACATTCCCAATATATCTTAACAAAATAAAGACTATGCAGATAAGGTTTTTAAAGATATTAGTTGATACTAAAACGAAAATTGCTTTAGATAAAAATTATGAAATGTTATTCAAAATTTGCAAAATTATTCCCATAGACATGAAAGTAAAATCCATTATCATATTATAACAGCATAGTATGGTAACATTTAAGAAACCTAGGACATATATAATGCCAAAGCGCCAAATTACTCAAAGGAGGAAATATCTCATATAGGCTGAAAATTACTTTGGACGGCGTACAAGGCAATGGATAACTCCAACTTTGTGTAATGAGGTAGCGGATATATATGACGAAAGCATAACAAAGGCGCAGCTCAAATCAATCTTGAGGAAACATTATCTGTCGTTGTGTCCATAGTGGTGAATGTTTCTTTAATTATTTTGTGTTAATTTAAGTAGTTATAAGTACCAGATATTGTTATTAAGGAGTGTGAAACGATGAACTGTTATGTTGTCAACAAACTGGCTTACAGTTTGGTAAAATTTAAAATATAAATAATGTACACTTTTTATAAGAATAAATAAAAAAACACACACACAACAGCTAACTACCACCTTTATGCTGACGATTTGCAGTTATATCGTAATTTTGTGGCATCCGAAGCCAACTTGGCGATTGAAGAGGAGGTATGAATGACGACTTAAATAAAATTAGCAAATGATCGAGATCATTTAGTCTCACATTAAACCCAACTAAATTCCAAGCCTTGATAATAGGCAAAAGATATGCGCGTGGCACGCTTGATTTCTCCTCTCTCCAAACTCTACGAATCGATGGCGCCACTATTCCCTACTCATATACTGCCAAGAACCTAAGTGTTATTTTCGACTGCAATTTGGCTTGGGGCGCACATGTTACGGATGTAAGCAGGAAAATATTTCACGCCTTTCGTTTTCTAAAACGCCTTCAAAGTTTTCTACCTTTAACTCGAGCGCTTGCAAAATTTATGTATTTGACATTTTTGGCTTAAAGAAGTTCGACCACGTCTGTTTATCGCAAGCAGCTTACATGGCTCCCCATCCGCCTTCGCCGGAACACTCGAATCCTCTGTCTTCTTTTCAATATTCTACATAACCTGATACTCTACTCGCTATATCTAAAAATTGTTTTACTTTTGTTCATCCTCCATGTTCCATGTAGATCAAATACTAGAACACTGTTAAGATTTCCGTCTTTCAATACAATGCGTTATATTCTCATTTTTTTACTGTTAACGCTGTAAAATTGTGGAATTCACTTCTCTTTAGAATTCGTGACGCTAAGTCGGTGTCTATGTTTAAACGACTTGTTTTAACTTGCTCTTTACGAGGGCGGCACTGAAAATTTCGAGAATCAAGGAAGTGACACAACATTACTATTTAAAAATGTATTTATTGCTGACTTAACCTAATAACCTAACCTAACCTAAGTATTTTATTAAGCAACTAGCTTATAAAAGCTGTTCCACTTTTATTCAGTAAATAGCTCCGAAAATTTCGAGAATCAAGGAAGTGACACAACATTACTATTTAAAAATGTATTTATTGCTTTTCGAAGTATTCTCCGCGAAATTTGACACATTTTTCCATACGATGGAACCAATCATTGAAGCAACCATTCCATTCGGAAGTTGGGGTCTCCAAAATGTATGTTTTGTAGGCGTCCACAGCTTCTTCAGGTGATGAAAATCTCTGTCCACGCAATTTATTCTTTTTTATTTTAGGGAAAGTGTAGAAATCATTAGGGCTTAGGTCGTGGCTGTATGGCGGATGGTCTAATAATTCTATGTTTTATTGCTCTAAAAACTCTTCTGTTCTGTGTGCGGTTTGAGAACTCGCACTGTCGTGATGGAGGATGATGCGGCAGTTGCAATTCTCTTTACGGAGTTCAGAAACGACCTATGGCAAACAAATGCTAGCATACCATTCTGCATTAACCGTTCTTTGTCCCTCAAGAGGAATAGTCGTAACATGGCCGGTTTTGGAGACAAACGTGGCCACCATTTTTTTTGCAACATTCCGTGAACGAACAATTTTTGTTGGATTTAACTCATTTTCGAACACCCAAACTCGTGACTGGTTTTTTGTTTCGGGTTCGTACGCACATATCCAGGATTCGTCACCTTATACGATGTTGTATACAGCATTTGAGGATCCTGCGTGGAATCTTTCGAGAGTTCTAACGCACCAAGTAACGCGAGCCGCTTTTTGCTCTTCACAGAGCGAATGCGGTATCCATCGGGAAAACAACTTTTTTACACCTAATTGTTCATGCAAGATTATTTGTATTTGACTCATGCCAATGTCTAAAGTTGCTTGAATTTCGCGGTATACCGCGAAATTCAATGAGTAATCAATCAGCTTACGCACAGCATCAACGTTTTCTTGGGTGACTGCAGTTTTTGGACGACCTTGACGGGGATAATCACTGAGCTTGACACGTCCACGTTGAAATTCAGCAAACTAGCGATAAATTGTAGTTTTGTATGGGGCTTCATCACCAAATGCAGAAATCATCCGGTCAACACACTGTTTTTGTGTTAAACCACTTCGAAAGTCATAATAAATCATCGCTCTTAAATTTTCTCGAGTCAATTCCATTTTCTCAACGACTAAAGAAGTTTGACAAAACCTTGTGACAAGACCGAGAATCTTTTTTTAAATAAATAAATGGTATTCGATTTTTAAAACCAAGGAGTTTTCAGTTAAAAAGATTTTAATATGACAGGAAGAGTGGAAATATTCCATTCCCGATACTTTTAGTGCAGCCTAGGTAGAGCACTATCATTCACACCATAATTATTAATTCGAGATGTGTAGGTATTCATATATAAAACATTAAAATATAATATATTGAATTATATATTTTTTGTTATAATATATTATATTTGTATTCTATATTTATGTGTATATACTATGTATGTGTATGTATATATGTGTATATATATATGGAGGTTTGTATATTTGTATTTGTATTGTATATGTATATTTTAATGAAGTGCACACTTTGACTACCTCTATTTCCTTCAACAATCCTTCAATAGGCCTGCTGAAAGAAATTTCATTATGGAATAAGCAGTGCCTTTGTACACAGTTTTGTTTTTAACATTTTCCTATCGAAGTATGTTTGTACATAAACTGTTAAATAAATAAAATAAATAAATAAACTAATTCTGACATTTCATTAACAGAATCACACCTCATTGAATAATTTTCACTACCCCATATCATCCCAAGGGCACACCCTTGGGATGATATGGGGTGGTAAGAAGCGATAAAGGGAATCAAACCAGAAGATGTACGGCATCGTCTTTCTAATAAAACAAAAAAAAAATAAGTATAAATACCGCAGGTATGTCCCACATACCAAGGGTAGCAATAATTGGAAATACTCCCCTCTATGAGACAATTTAAGGGGAGGCCTATCTTCAACAGTAGATTGAATAGAAAGTTCTTTTGATGAACGGTAAATTGTATCTGTAATATTAAAGTTTCACCTTACCTTGGGATATCTCAAAGTTCTGATGGAAGGGTATGCTGGAGGCTCCTGCTGGTCAAGTCCGTACCAAGGGTACTTATGTTGTTGCACCAGACTGTCGTTGTATGTCACGTACATTAGGGTCTGGCCGTCCGGACTAAACCATAGCGCGCGGTCTAGACGCAGGACTTCAGTCTCGTAGAGGAAGTCCGGGACTCCGTTGAATATTACACCGGGGACACCTGTTTTGAATTATGTATTTTAATATAGAATAGTATATAGTAGAATTTTTTCTTTCAAAATAGATTACAAGAATAGTTCTTTAAAGTCTCCCTCTGCACTGGATTGAAGCAGTAAGAAACCCAGTGGGACTTTTTTTTTAAACACTAATTTATAATATAATATGTTGTTCAATTAAATATGCAAACATTTAAAAAAAGCAAGGTAGCAATCACCTTATTCCTAGAGGTTATATTCAATTATGTACTTTTTAGTGGTGTTACCATTATCAAAAAAAGTAAAATTTCACTTTTTTTTGATAATGATTTTTTGATAGACATCACACAGAATACCAGTGCAAAATAGCAGCTCAATGCAACTTTGTTTCGTATGGTGAGTGTAGAGAACCGAAGACCCTTTTTACTGATAACAAGGCATTGCATATTAGTCCTCAGGGGTGACAATGTATCTGCACTTTGATTCTTTATAATCGAGGTTAAATGTAGTTGGCTATGAGTCACAATATCAACTTATCATTTGTGTTTATTTATCACCACGATTTGTTCATAACTTCACAGAGGAGAGGAATCCCGTGCGAGTCGTGAGGCAACAAAAAGAATGAAATGGGAGATAGGCTTCAGGATCTTCCTGATAACAACCCAATAAATTAATTTGACGTTTCCGTGGTGCAGTGACTTAGTCATTTAGTTGCAGCGCTAAGGACCGTGTGTTGTTCCAATGTCTGGATGTTTATCCTTGTAAATTTTAAATATGTTAATAATATGTGAGAAAATTCTAGTGTAGAAGTAGTGTTATTTTTAAACAAAAAAGAAAGAAAAAAGGAAAGAATAATTATTAAAAAAATTGCGATTAGTCGTCTACCATGCGTGGACAATGTTCAGCAGTGGATTTTTAAAAGGCTATTATGAATAAGTGAACGATGGGAAGCAATATATAATTATACAGTTACAGTATACAGAGTAACATATTACTGATAGTTAGGTACTGTATAATTATACAGTACCTAACTATCAGTAACATGTTACTCTAAGTGTATGTCAAGATAAGTCTCGAATTCGATCGGCGACTAAATGTAGTCCAATTCAATCCTCAGAAGACATAAGTTTGCGCGTTAACCGCTAAAACAACCTCTTTGTCGTATCTCCTCAGTTTGAAGGCACTCCCCTTGCTGCTTCAGCTAGCATCGGAATCCTCGGCGTCAACATATCGAATAGTATGTAGTTTCGTGGTCACTTGGAAGGGAAGGCCAAATTGGCCTTTAAAAAGCTTGGCGTGCTCAGCAAAGCAAGAGACAATATTTCATGCCGATACATCGTTTGACACTTTACAAAGCGTAAGTTGCGCCGCACATGGAATACTCTTCTCATCTCTGGGCCGGGGTACCCCAGTGGCAGGCTCCTTCCAGCACAGAGCGATTCGAATCGCCGACGACCGAGTTCTTTCTGATCGACTCAATTTACTGGCGCTGCGTAGCAATGTTGCATCCCTTTGTGTTTTCTATCGTATCTACCATGGGGAATGTTCTCAAGAATTGTTCGGATTAGTTCCCTTCATTTCGATCCCATCCTTCCCATCATTCACGATACCATCCTCATCATCTGGATGCTTGGCGGTTCATCACTGTGCGTTTTACTAGGAGTTTTCTTCCTCGTACAACTTCTCTGTGGAATTGTTTACCACCGGCAATTTTTCCGGACCGATACGACTTAGGGATCTTCAAGAAAAGAGTTTACTCCTTTCTAAAAGGCCGACAACGCACCCGCAGTTTCACTGGTGTTGCGGCTGTTCATGAGCGGCGGTAGTCACTTACCATCAGGTGAGCCGCATGCTCGTTTGCGTCCTTTTCTACGAAAAAATAATAATAAAAACGCCTTAAAATATAGAAGAACGAGCACTGTTGATATCTTAGTAAATTTATAGCTGGATGTAGCAAATATTGATCCCTATAACGATTTTGAAAAATATTTCCTTACAACATCGTCTCTCAACCTCGGACAAAGAAATTTCCTCAATTGCCGTGTTAAGCTAGCTAACCTCATTTTGCTTAAGCGAACGAGTGAGGTTCATTGTAAAATGTAAGAAAGACCTCTATACAAAGTGTGTAGTGTTTTCAGTTATTTAACTATTTTATTCCGGCCACTGTACGTCATTATAGTGAACTTTAAAAAAAGGAAAAATGTGTGTGAATTGCCATACATGCATTTTTTGACACACTCTGACTATAAAAAGTAGAGTCAAAAGTTCCATTTGCTCTGTGTCAAAATAGTAAAGAGTCCCGTTTACTCAGTGCTCTCATAAATCTTGATATGTGAGGATCGTTACAGTTACCGTTATAACTTATCCTCCATAGATTGCCTAGCAGGGAGGATATCTGCCATAGTTGCCACGCTTGGCCAGTAGGTTGGCGACCGCAGTTTTTATTTTAAGTCGTTATTAGGAAGACACCGCTGCCTATCTTGATTAGTTTCCTTCTGTCGCCTCTTACGACAGCCGCGGCATGATATGGAGTAGTGGATATTCTTACACCGCCATTACATGGTAATGATAAGATGATGAGGATACAAAAAGAAATATAAAGGAAACAAATAATTCATAAATGGCGGATTTAACTATAATCTGGAATATTTTGAATGGATCATTGAGTTCCTTCAAAATTTAATTTTAGAAGAAAGAAAGAAAGAAATTAAGAATAAAAGAAATTAATTTGTAAAAAGTAAGTAAACTATAAAAAATGTCAATAAAGAATTACTATAAATTAATTTCATCATTCATTTCACCATCATCATCGTCATCGTTACGGCCCTTACTGAGTTCGCTGCTGAAAATAGGCCTCCCCCAAGGAATGCCACAAAGCACGGTCCTGAGTCACCTGCATGTAGCGACTTCCTGCATTCTTACCAGGTCATCACTCCATCTAGTGGAGGGTCACCCTACATTTCGCCTATCGGTACGAGGCTGCTATTTAAAAACCTCTTTTCCCTATCGTTTGTCGGTTTTTCGCGCTATATGGCCGGTCCATTGCCACTTCAGTTTACTAATCCATTAGGATATGTCGGTCAATCTGCTTCTACAACGGGTATTCTTATTTGTATAGCCTATAATTAAAAGTTTCATGTCTTCCACAATACAGGAAAAAATTCTGCTGTAGGGGAAACTTACAAAAAACATAATAAAATACTAAATGAGATATAGTTTTACCTGTCTTAGTGATCCTGCAAACAAGGGTCTTGAGTATCCGTGGTTTGTAGTAAATGTCGTTGTCGTGGACGAAGACCAGACTGGAGCCTGTGGGAGACCATTCTGCGTATTGTAGGAGCGGTGCGGAGCGGTCGTCTTCCACTGGAGATATTGGAATTTTGGTCCTGGAAGTATGATTTGACCATGAAATTCATTATTTTTTGTTACATTCCACCAAAAGTCTGCTGGTGAACATCAGCCTCCCTCGTAGGGATATTTGCTACTCTTGGCTGGGGTTTGCAACCACAATTTTTGTATTATTACCAAGTTGTTATGAAAAAGACACTGCTGCCTATCTTCTGTTTCTATTTCTCTCTGTTGCTTCTTGCGATACCCATGGGATGTTAAGAGGTAGTAAGCATTCTCACACATCGGTGTAGTGATGACGTAAGACCATCTTGTTAAAGCAGTTCAACAGAATCTAGTTGTAATTTTCAATTCTTGTTATAGTTATTGTTCCTTCGAACATAGAGTTTCTTTTTACCTAGGTATCCGTCTATGTAGAAGCACTCCGCGGCTGTACTATGAATTATGAATGGCTGTAGCATGAATGGGTAAAGTTGGTTCGTGAAATAATAGCGTAATGCTGCTGCATTTCGTATGAGTTTAACGAACCGTTGACCCTTTTACTGGAAACGCGGTATTCTATCTTTGTAATTAGGGACAAAAAAGCATTCTGCTTTTGATTCTTAATTGGAATAGACGTGTCTATGGGCCACAGGATTGACTTCCCATCAGTTTAACTGTGTTCTTGACGGTGTGTATCACAATTATTAATTTAGTTTATGGATAAGAGATAACAAATAAGATGATCAGTCAGAGAAAGTGACATACCTTGTAATAACGTCATAAACATGATATCGAGCTAAGCGAGCGTGTCGCCAACCAGGTCTTACGTCGGAGATAAGAAGCACAAACTTCAAATCCGCTGACACCTTGAAGTCCACTGCATTCAGCTCCCTCTATAACACAAAAAGAGTCTTATTTCAGCAAAGTGATAACTCTTTTTCAGTGCACATTTTTTATAAACCTGAAATTACAAGCTAGCCTACAGTCGACCTGTTGGTAAGTGACAATTACAACCCACTGTCACCTGCAACCAACTTTAAACAAAAAAGACTAAGGATTAGTTGTTACCTCTGAGGACTAATATAGAATACGTAAAGCTGTAATGATACCGGTTCTCCATAAAATTTTGAGGACATCTGTGTAAACATTTCTTTATGGTGACAGAAATAAGTAAGTGGTTGGTGTCGACCCAGATGGACCTGGACGTCAAGAGTCATACCAACTAGACAAAAAAAGATCTCGTAACAAAGTCATTCCATTTTCTTCCCTAGGTGTCGTAAGGTGATTTTAGAAAATGCCAACATGATCTCTAGGCTAATCATAGTTTTTTTTATTAAAATAAGGGTGACAAACGAGCACACAGTCCACTTGATGGTAAGTGGATGCTGTGGCCCATAGACATTCCATTAAGAATCAAAATGCAGATGCGTTATCACCCTGAGAAATGCCTCAATCCCAGTAAAACGGGTCTCCGGTTCTCTACACTCACCATACGAAACACAGCAGCATTAGGCTGCTATTTTACGCTGCTTTTCTGTGCGTGGTCCTTCCCCGGTCGAGCTGACACATCATGCTACAACCATAATATAGCTGCATCGTGACTCTACCACGAAATATGAGTGAGACGTGAGACCATTTCGTTAATACTAGAATTTAAATATAGCCTTTTTCATCGACGTATTTATGTACTAAGAATTGTAATTCCATAGTAGAAAGACGTAAATTCAGTCAATGCTTTTTTGCGAGAGAAATAGGTGAAATAGTGAAGGCAGTTGGTGTCTACCCAGACATTTAGGCTGAAAAATAGTCCAACTACCTAAAGAAAAGGAGTTTTCGTAATAAAAATATCATCCTATTTCGTTCCGGGAGTGTCATAAGACAATTTTAAGAAAAGACAGGAAGATCTCAAGGCTGATCATAGTGTGACCCTCTCGTTAATACGAGAATGTAAATATAGTCTTTTCCATCGACGTAGTAGTTATCGTCATCGAAGTATTGTAATTCCGTCGAATAAAGTTGTAACATCTTATAAAGTTATGAAGAAGAAAAATGCTTTTGTTTTATTATACCTATTTGTTTACAAAATTTCTCATAACTTTATTACTTCTTTTGATTGTCAAATTTACTGCACAAACTTTTTCGTTCAAAATAATAAATTAAGCGTTTTCAGTTGGATACCCCGGCCCTTCACAAACTTTACAAATAAATTTCACATCCATCGTCTGTCGGCAGTATAACATATATGGTGCAGTGTTGACAAATTGCGCAATATATACACGTCGGTCAAATTTTGCGCTATTCTATCAGGCCTTTTATTTAACGGGTAAAAGTGTGAAATAGTTTATTCTATTCGGAGTGATATATTGTTCAATCGTTGTAAAGTATATTTTGAGGGTTTGGGAGTTTACAGGATAGTAAGAAGTATTTCTCGTTTAATGATGTTCACCATCACCCGTCTGTGTAAATAAGTTCGGTGTAAATGATATATAACTTATATTTACCGTGTAGTTGTGCAAGAATATCCACTACACTTTAGTATGTGGTAGAGCCACGCTGCAGCTATATTATGGTTGTAGCATGAATGGACCACGCTTTCACAGAATACCAGCGTAAAATAAGCTGCTGTGTTTCGTATGATTAGTGTACAGAACCGGAGACATGTTTTACTAGAATCGAGGCATTCCTTCTTAGTCCTCAAGGGTGACAACGCATCTGCATTTTGATTCTCAAACGAGGATAAATGTAGTTGTCTATGGTCCACAGCATCCACTTACCATTAAGTGGACTGTGTAGTGTTGCCCAAATGCAAGAACAAGACGAGACTTAGCCAGTCTTGGTCTTGGTCTTGCGACAAGAGTCTCGCAAGTCTCGCAATTACCTATTAGCCTATTGTTATTCATTAAACGTTACTTTAGATCTTAGAACAACTTAACAGAGTAGGCACATTTTGAGCTTGAATTAACATAGCCATAGAAAGACCAACCAAATTAATAAATGTCTAAACATTTAATGAGAAATTCGAAAAATCAACTAATACCGGGTGGGGTTTGAACCCACGACCTAAGCGATCCGTGCCGATGCTCTAACCAACTGAGTTGTCTACCAAGTCTCACGGCCACGGGAGTTAGTCTGTTTCTTAATAAACGTTTACATTTAATAAGCTTACATGTGCTAAAACTTAGTCAAAACATATAAAAAACAAATTAATGACATTAACTTGACTGTATTATTAAGAACATTATCTGTCTAGAAAGAGATTGATAGACCTTTATATGAAATGGAATAAAATAGTTATACAATTTACATTATAAAAAATAAAATACAATACAAATCAAATTACATAACAGTACACAACAGCTTTGACATTACTGTTACTTTATATAAATTCTTTTGACCAAGAATTAATACAAAGTAACCATCTGGCTGACTCATCACTTAACCTATTTCTGTGTTTTCTAATTACTAATGGATGCTTTAGAAAATAATCTCTCAGCAGGTACTGAAGTTGCAGGTATTGAAAGAAAATCACGGGCCATCTTCGATAAAGTCGGATATTCTGTCTCATGCGTCCTCCACCACTCTAAAATGTCTTCCGAACTGGCGGCTCTGGGTTTACTTAGGTACTCCTCCAACTCGTCTATAACTAAGCCTTGATGAAAAGATCCAGATCCAGATGACGTCGAGGGACATACATACAATTTCTCAAAGTCTATTACGTCTTCATCTTCATCATGTTCACATACTTCCTTTTCATTTCTTGGTGATTCTAGAGATGTATTCACTGACTTTTATATTCTTTATAAAGTTCATTAAATTTGTGCAGGCTTTCTGTTTTAATTTGGTTCCCCCATAATGTCATGTCAAAAGTCTGAGTCTTATGCCTTGGCTCTAAAATTAAAGAGGTACAATAAATCCAGATGCTCTTTTTATAATATTTAAGCATTTTGTCTCGAGCTGCTTGGAAACCCAGAATAAGCCTTTCATCCACTTCGGATCGATCGATCGAGGTTTCTCATCTAATTGTTTTACCATGGATTCAATTTTATCGAGCAAGAGATTGAATGATACAATGACTAGCGGTAATGTAACATATTTTTCTCCACCAAGTTTCGTTGATAGAAGTTTAAAGTTTATTAGAAACTTACTATTACAAAAAACCTTATTTTTTCGAGTATTTGCCCTTCACTATCTGTGATTTGTAAATCATTCAATTTGGTGACAGAAGTGCACAATATGTTAATGCCAGTTCTCATTTTTAAACCAAATCCAATCATATCATGTGTGGAATTCCATCTCGTTGGACAGTCGAGTATGGGGTTCAGATTTGATGGCACGAAAGCTGCTTCACAAGCAGACTGAAACTTCCCTTCAATATCTCACTTCTTTTTATTTTACTGGAAATACTGCGTAATTTTGTTATAGCTGTAAGAATATGTGCCAAATATTGCTGACTCACGTGAGTCAGCAGCAATATTTGGCGCATATTCTTCATCTTCCTCAGTTTCGTCTTCATTATCTTCAGACTGCTGTTCTTGTCCATTATTGTCAGTTTCACTCACACTTTAATAAATCTTGTACACCAAGGTTCAAAATGTGAGCAAAGCACCGGAAATGTTGATTGTCTGAATCAAAGTGTGGCAGCTGTTTGTCCAATTCATACATACATTTGGTATTTGCAGTTGCGTTGTCGACCGTGATACCCTGTATTTTATCAATTATGTCATATTCCAATAAACATTCGTGGAAAATCGTTGCAATATCTTCCCCAGTATGTCGAACGCGTGATGGTATAAAATCAAGGACTACAGATCAATACTTCCATTCGTTGTCTATATAATGAATAGCGACCCCGTAGTAACTCCTACCAGCAATTGACGTCCATCCATCAATGGTAAATGACATTTTAGATGAAAATTGTTGTAGTCGTTTCTTAAGATTCAATTGAAGCTCTTCAAACCGTTCTTTGACCTTCCTTCTTAGTGTGGACCTTTTAGGAAACACCATATTTGGGCAAATTGATCGAAAATATACTTGTGTAGCTTCGACATCGGAAAATGAGAAGGGAAGATATTTTTTAACCATCCAATCAACTGTAAAATATACATACAAATGTATCTCAGGAACTATAAAACATACAAACTTGAAGTTTGTAAGGTAGGTTCCTTTTATGGCATAGAGATCAGTTAAGAAACGGTTTTGAGAAAATCTATCCCTAAGGGAGTGAAATGGGAGTTGGAAGTTTGTATGAAAGTCCTACGTTTTTGAAGTTAGAGACACGAAAATCGGCATTAAAATTATAAGTTTTCAATAATAAAATCCTGAATAAGCTGTTTTACGAAATTCTAACCCTAAAGGGGTGAAATTGGGGTAAAATGGTTACATGCAAGTCCCATATTTTTAAAGTATAGATATGAAGATCGAAATTTACTTTATTAGTTTTAAATAATAAATACTTGCATAGTTAAGCTTTACCTATATAGCCTCTTTATACTTAGGTAAGACTTTTGCAGCGAGAAAATTTCAAAATCTCATAGGAAATCAGATATTGTACGCGGACGAAGTCGCAGGCGGCCGCTAGTTACATAATATATGTGTTATGTAATTGTATGATAAGTATATTTTTTCTTACCTGTCCACTTTTTCCGGTGGTTATTAAAAAGCTTGTGATATCTCCACTTAATTTTGGTTTTTCAGGAAGAAATATTTGTGATTCCTTTTTGCGGAAAGATATTAGATGCTTCCTTAAGCCTGAAGTGTTTCTGTTTTTCATTTTTATTTCAACCTTTTTATGTTGGCATAATTTACACAAAGCAATTTGGGATGCATGAATTTGGGATGTTGAATATGAAAGTGGAGGGACACACGGGCAGAGGAAGGCCGAATAAAAGATGGA